ATTAAAATACTTGCTATCTGTTTAAAAAAAACAAGAAAGATGGACAGATATTACAAATGGCTTAAAAGTGAGAAAAACAGAGGGGGGAAGGGAGAGGAAATAAAAATGGACCCGTCCCACCGTTTTCCCAAAAAAATTACCTGACCTTTTATAATTATTTGACCATCTATGCTTTACTTTACTAATGTATTGTATATTACGTTAATAGAGAAATATAGAAGCAAAGAAATCGTCGGTACTTTTTACTATTTCAAAATTAAGACAAATATGCAGAAAAAAATAGATAAATAAATATACAGGGCGTAAATAAAACACGTTCTGACACTTTATTAACGAATTGTACAACCCAACCTTCCAGAAACGTCTTATAATCATGACGTTAGGAAAAATTTCATTATCAAGGCTGTAGATATCGACATTAAAAAAAAATCGTATCTCCCAAATTTGGCATAAAGTCTTAATTTTTTATCGTCCATTGACGTGTGTACAGAGTGATTCATTGTATTTTGACCCCCCTTTAACTTTTTTATTTTAAGAGCTTTAAAAAAATGTGAAATACAAAAGTTGCACGATTTTTTATGAAGTTTCGAAAATGACAGTAGAAAAACAAATGAAGTCCAAACAAAATGGCCGCGGATGTTAACTTTGTTAATTTAAATGGAACGCCCTTTATATTTTTACATATTTGGGAAGAACGTTCCCTGTCGAGCATAGTTATATAGGATTTGTTGGGTCCATCTCTAACAATTATAATATTTAAAAACGAAAAGAAGGTTTTTTATTAAGAAAATAAGATATTTTGTAATTGTTAGACCTCTTTCAGGCATTTCTGCATTTTTTCCAATTACAAAAGGATTTACAGGTTTAGTTGCAATATATTTCAATGTGTCGGACATTGATATGGTCCAAAATACGTATAGGTCCTTTAACTAAATCTCAGTAATTAGACCGTGTGATACTATGGTAGGTCGTGATAGTGTCAGGTAGTAATGTCATGATAACATTGTTATTGATTGACAATTTGGATTATTATTTAATTAAAATGGGTTACACTCAAGTAGAAGATTGAAATATTATTGGGAATTAAAATAGAATTTGGAGAATAACTTACTCTATTTTAATTCCTATAATATTTCAACTTGTGTAACCCATTTTAATGAAATAATAATACAAAATGTCAAACAGTAACAATGTTGTCATAACATTACCTGTCAGTCACGGCCTACCATATAACATTGTCCATAAGTTTCTCAAGGCCTAATTAATGAGATTTAGTTAAAATACCTAAACGCATTTTGGACTATATCAATGTCCAATATGTCAAAATATGTTGCAACTAAATCTAAATCCTTACGTAATTAGAAAAAAGGCAAAAATGCCTGAAAGAGGTGTAACAATTACAAGATATCTTATTTTCTTAAACATTCTTTTCATTTTTTAATATTATCTCGCTTATTACTAGACATGGGCCCAACAAACCCTATATGACTATCCTCGACAGGGAACGTTCTATCCAAATATGTAAAAATATAAAGTGTGTTCCAATTAAATTAACAAAGTTAGCATCCTCGGCCAATTTGTTTGGACTTCATTTATTTTTCTACTACCATTTTCAAAAACTGCATAAAAAATCGTGCAACTTTTGTATGTCACATTTTTATATAACTCTTAAAACGAAAAAGTTAATGGAGGAGTCAATATATAGTGAATCACCCTGTACTTACTATAAGTTTTTTTACATTCAAAATTATTGTTTAAGAGAATAATTTAGTAATTCTTGCTCACATTTTTCTTTCAAAATATTTGAAAGTTAAGATGTAGTATAGGAAAGTACAAGGCTAGGAATGGCATAAAACCAAGTTATTTTTGAAAAAAATTATTATAATATTTACTCGTGTAATCACCTTATCTATAAATAAAGTAAAATATATTTAACATGGTTTTTACTGCCGTTTCTAGCATCTTGATAGAAATCACACTTTTTTATTAATTTTAAAAACCGTGTACCTTAAAAGCGAAATGTTTCTAGATACAGGTATAGACACAGATACATACAGATACAGGTTCTAGGAATTTTTGTTATTATGATGTATACGAGGTTTGCTCAGAAAATAATCGTACTTTTTAAATCATTTTCATAATTATTGTAGTACTCATCTTGAGATAAATGATTATACAGAGATCACAATATACACTTATTAATTATTAGTTACATGTATATTAATTCAATCCACGAATAGAATCAGAGATACTTATATAATTTAAATGTGAATTAAGTTTTTAGGAATTAATTTTAAAAACAATTCTGACTAATTTAATGAATAGCTATACTTAGCAATCTTTATACGTAATTGTGACTTATACAAACATTCTAAACATGCGTTATTAAAGTTTCTCTAATTTTATTTACCGTTAAAAGTTTTAAAGTTGAAATATTTTTAATAAGAATTGTATATCAAATAAGAAACAAATAAAAATATTTTTCTTCAATCCAATGTCTCTTCAGTTAAGTATTGATGAAACATGACTTGAAATCGTTACTTTGTACAACAATAACACATTAAAAAAATAATCGTTTGTAGGAACATATGCACTAGACTTTATTTTTGAGTTAGGAACATCATGCGACACATTTTTTTAAATTTCTCAAATATCACAAACGACGTTTGACGGAGACAAAATAAATTGAGCTAACGGTTTGGTTAAATAAAAATCAACATTCATTGAAGTTGTAAATATCCAACACTAAATAATTCTAATCCACGGTTATCAATAAGTGAGGGATAAAATGTGAGGGATAGGAAATTCCACATAATTTAGTTTCTTGTTTGTTTCTCTTTAAACGTTTTGAATATATTATTTTAAAAAAAAACGTTTTCAAGAGTCTCCAATTGGGCTTATGGCAATCTTTTTCCAATTTTGAAAAATTCTGCTACCAGCTAAAATTTGGGTTATGTATTCACAATTCCTGTGGGTATAGTATGCTACATTATCAAATCAAATTATTCTAAATTCAAAATGAAACTAAAACTTTTAGAAAAAAATAAATTTTGAAGTAACTGCGATTAGAGATATATATTAACATGAAGTTTTATTTACACATTTAGTATGACCAAATTTGTAACTTTATTTGATGAGAATTAGAAAAAAAATTAGAACTAATTTGAATTAGATTTATTAAAAGTAACTTAAAAATACATCAATAACTAATAATATACACTGAAAGAAATGCGTTTTATTCTTTATTAGAATTCTATACGCCATTATAAGACCATTGTATACTATATGTGACAGTTAAACAGGTGAATATTGGATATAAAACGCGTACTGCTAGCACAGTTGTATAGTGACTATAAACCTTATTCTTTATTAAATTATTGTATAACTAGTATACAACGTTTTTTATACCCTTTACGAAATAATAGCAATAACTGTTATTAAAGTGTTCCATATCGTTATTAGAACATCTAGTACTGGTTATAAGTTTTATAATAATAAATGTATTAAACTGTTGTATACTCTGTATGAGTTAAAAACATATGTCATTAAGTTTTCAGAAATTTTATTGGATAACTGTAATTACAAGCTAAGGTTCTAATGTAAACATACATAAAACATACTTTTAAGCATTAAAAATGATGACAAATCGCTCCCAAAACTGTCCAGTTTATTTTCTTAGCAACGATGCACCCGTATTTTCTTGTATTACATGAGAATTTGCACTATAACTCTTCCACCTTAAGAATGAAGCATCCCCAGAAAGGTTGAGCTTCTTTCCATATAATTTTATTTCCTCTGGTTGATTGACTTTATACCCATGCTCTTCTTTGTCACCGTTAACCTTCTGTTCCTCCATCTTATGTAAAACTTAACATCAGCGATTTCTAATAGGACCTACAAAATAATAATTTTTAAGATTTAGACAAGATTTACATTTGAAAAAACAAAACAATTACAAGCCATAAAACAGTTAGATACTTACATAATAATTTTCCATTTCACACAACGCGATATGATCATGTATCCCACAAAACATGTGCATATACTGTCCATTTTCATCAAACTAGACGTGTGTAAGTCGATGCACAGCGGACTGTCGGAAATTTTACGATTGTTGTATTTTCTCTTCTTGAGTAAAGATAATAAAGACGTTGTGGTTTTGTGTGTTTATTTTGACAATGATTGAACATGTATGGACAATAAAAGTGGACTGTATAAGATAGTTGAGTACCGTTCTGCTTCATGCATAGCATGCTACTGAAATCTTAGAAGGGATGAGCTCGTGCGGCGAACCCTAAATCAGCGGCTGGAATAGCCAGGTTTCTTATTGAGTCGGCGCACTTCGCTCTCGGGTCTGACATATGATTATTATTACAAGACTATGAATATAACTTAACAACGATCATAACCGATTATGCACCGAGAGGTGACGATCACTTAACCATTATAAGATGCGTTTTACACGTTAAAAACGGAAACATATTCAGTATAAGAACGAATAATTCTGTTAATACAATTGTTATATACAAATTCGGATACTGGTCTTTATACAACAAATCTTCCCTACTATACAACTGGAATATAAAGTCTATAACACCTAATAATGTATAAGTAATTCATTATAACCTTTATTTCATAGATGCATAAGGTGTATTAAGCACCTTCCAGTTAAACTGATTGAATAATGAGTATGGAGATGATTGCTTTTTTTTTAATAAAAGTTGTATATTGGTTATAAAAGTTTTAATATGCGCTATACACATCATTCTAGATAAACAGTTTAATAAGCCCATTTCTTTCATAATTTAAAAATTGTAGTTCTTTGTAAACACTTCTGCAATTTTTCAATGAACTTTGTATCTATCCTAGAATTGATTATTATGCCCATCCAAGAAAATTTGTTATTAATATCCATCAAAGTTTTTGGACCGCCTGGTATGACAAGAAGTAGGTAGGTAGTTCTTGATAAACACAATATCATCGCGTTAGCATCCGCTGAATTCGCTTTCTCGTTCTCTGCTTGAAATAAAAATCATTGCTAGCTAGCAGTGACCGTGTACGATTTAGACCAACAATGTGGGGAAACAGAGATACCATAATAATTATTTGTGTACTTTTGTCCTGCACTTTCATTTTCTTGGATGCTGCGGAATTGCAACAACACAAGCCAATTAACAAAAATGACACCCGAAATGGAATTTGTACACTTGAAGTACCGTAAGTAATCTGTTATTAATTATCTTAATGAAACTAGGTTTATACTTTATAAGTACTCATTCTTCTAAGAATAACTGTGAGGTGTATATATTATGTCCATAACCTTGTTGGCTTTAATCGAATTTAACATTGACTAACATGAACAAACAAGGTGATTTACAATAGCTTCGTGATCGGTAACTTAATTTTTTTTAATATATTTTTACCTACATTTTTCAATTATTTCTTATAACATTGAAATTAAAAAATCTATTCAATTTTACAAATATGTATAATTGCCTAATAATTTAATTTAACTCAAGTTTCACTCTTTTCCACAATAATAAAGTGTTCATTCATCAAATAATGCAAATATGGCTTGACTTAAGTGAAGAAAGAGAATGGAAAACTGTAAATGAGAGTTCTAGAGCCTATTGAAACTTCTTAATTAATTATTTTATAATTGTGTTGGCTTTATATTATTCTCCTCTATTGTAGTGTCACCGTTTCCTCAATTATACGAAAATGTGAATATGATAAGAAAATTAATGATTTTGAAATGAGATAAACATAAAAAGAACGCAAAGAATATGGAAGCCCGGGAATGATGGCTAGTTTTTTTAAGCTGCTCGCAAATGAAAATCTTTACGATTCAAACTTTAAAAATGGCCGTCTTTAATTTTTCCTTTTGTCCGAAATAATACTTCGTCGAGTTCTGCATCCAATAGCTACAAATGACACTTTGAGTAAAATCTTGAATACTGCATATGATGAGTTTTTTTGTAACATTCGAAAATGAGTATCCATTTTTAATATACTAAAGTTCAAACAGATGTACCGATATGTAAAGAAAATGTTTGACAGGTCATTACCAGAGAAGTTAGTCATAAAAATTCGAACAATTCCATTTTATAAATATGATGATATATCATATTCTAAAGGTTAATAAGTTTTAAATGAAGAATTATCTGAACAATATATAAACACGATAAAACCCTAAACATGTCATAAGACTGCTTGATGGGTGTAAGTAACGTGAATATAATTTTTTGGTTCTTCTGAAGGATAATCATTTTTCCCCACAATTTAACTAAGGGTAATCCCTTAAGAAGTATTAAAGAAATACTAATGAGTTCAGTTTTGGTGTAAAATTTCTTCACTCTTGGACTTACCCTATTAATCTTCACAGTAGTTTTAATGGTTGTCGTTAAGTCATTATTAAAATTTACGGGAAAAACCGCTGTATGAGTTTCGATAAAAATTGTTCTAATAGCTATTCACAGAAACATTAATATTTTTATTAATCACTTTTTAAAGCTTGTTCCAGAAATTGGTATTTCTTTTTTGTATTTTCCAAGAAGCGTACAATTAGGAATAATGTATTCGCTGTTCAGAAATGTTAAAATATATATCAATTTCTTCTTAGTGTATTTTATTTTCCAAATAATATTATAGAAAGTAAAAGAAATTAAACAATTTCTAATTATCAAATTCTTTAGCTTGCTTCACTATCCGTTAGAATTAATGAATACTTGAAAATTTTGGAAAATGGGACGTTATAACATTTTAATATAATATAATATAATATAATATAATATATATTTACTATAATATGTTGTATTACGGAACCTGTTTTCTGATATACTTCTTGATACCTAAACAGAATTAACGTTGTTAACCACTAGAGAGGTACAGGGCCCTCATAAATAATTACAAGCTACGTGACCGCCGAACTTAGGCCACCAATTTTGCGCGGCTGGTACTGTCAACTAAAAATCCCGAAATCTTAGCGTCACCAATATAGGTAAATGATTCGTTTAGAATGAACAATGACAAAGATAATACGATCGCTGATTGGTTGAATAAAACCTCGTGAAAAATTGTACCAATCACCAGTCGGTAAAATAGAATGTTGTATTCTAATGTACTATTGATCTTACTGTTTTAATTATTTTTAATTTTACCGAAATTTACCTAATTGCCAACGTGAAGGAAATAAAATTGCTATTCCAAATAAAATTACTTGCCGCGTGGCTTGTAGTCATACGTATCACGATAATTTTATTATTTATATAAATTTTCGATGTAATTTATGAAAATATAAATTTGTTGTCAAACAAGGACAGGGATTATACATATTTACAGAAACTCCTTCTCGGTGCTATCCACGGAACAAACGTATTATTTGTCGATTTTTTCGAAGAATTGACCACAAAGTTACACAATTTAAAAATTCGTTAAAACGGCACGATCCTTCATATGCGTAAAGACTATAAATTAATACTGGTGCAGATGTGGTTTTATAAAAAACTGCATTAATTTGCATAATATGATATTACTCATTCAATATATATGTTTTGAAAGTGACTAACAATGGTGAATTATTTATGAAATGGTTATACTTACTACGGTGATGGTCAGTTATAAAAATGTGTTTTATTTAGTTGCAATCCAATAAATATGTGTAATATCTAAATTAATATAAATAATTTAAAGGCCTATTTCTCTTGATATGGTACCGGGTAGTCCATCAAAAATGTCACTTTTTATTTCCTTCATTATTATTAGAAGTACATGTATAAAAAACATAATAAATTTTTTTAATACCCTTGTTGAGGAAAAATTTAAATATCGTATTACCCAAATATAACGCTAACGTTATTTTTTTAGTTAACGTATACTCTAAAAAAAAATGCCTTCTATAAATGGAATGAAAGTATAAAAAATACGTTATTGCACTAAAATTTAATAATATTGTCCTTTTGAATTCTAGAATTTATACCTACCTCTATGTTTCTAGTATAGACAGTAATATTTGGAAAATATTTATATACAAACACTTATTCGACCACAGTTTTCATACTTAAAATTATTTATAGAATTAAAAATATATAGATATATTTTGGGATTGACTTGCTTTTAAAGGTATACGCAGTAAGAGTTATTTGTTACACCTGTGGCTCTTACTCTTTTGTTATTAGTAGTTTGCCTTAGTCTGGTCACATATGGAGACGTGTTAAGTGTTTTGCATGGTTAGTAATAATTTTATATCATAATTTACAATGTGTGTGTTCGTTGACTGCACTTGAATACTGTTTGTCCTTTATTTCAAGTTTGTACTATTTTTTCCTTTACTTGTATGTGTTGCTTTTGCAATTTTATTTGCACTAGGTACCCTAACAAAAAAGAAACAAACAGAAGTGTTTAAGAAATACAAATACAATAAATAGACATTTTTGGAGAAAATCAATTAAATTTTGGGATTTTTCTTAGTATTTGCTTAAAATAATCATGTGTAGCTTATAACAAAATATAAAGTGGATATATTTTACAAAATAGTTGCTCCTATTTCCTATATAAATTATAGTCAACAGTTGTTTATATTTTGAATATATTTATTATAATAAGGAAAATTTCTGGGGGCCTTCTTCATTTTTATGTATTCTATTTTTATAATAGCAGTTTAGTATTCCATAGAGCAAGGAGGTCATTTCAAGTAACACCACAAAGTCATTCAAAATTTACTTCACAACATTGATTATGGGTGCAGCGTAAGGTGAATAAAAAAATAGCCGCAATTTCAATAAATAGGACTATTGTTTCAATAAATAAATAGAATACAGTAACAGACACGTTATAAATGAAACAGTTAAACAGACATTGTCAAATGTCATACGAAATAAAGAATTAAATATTTTGCAAACGAATTTATTAAATTATACTACACAATCATCTCGATATTAATATTATTAAGTATACTTAAAAATTGTGAATTAAAGAAATAAAAATAATGCAATTTATCAGAGCAATGTCTGTTTGAAAGCAATTAAATCGCCTTGGAAGATGGCGAAGAGTAATTTTACGTCATAAAAGTCAAACTTGCTCAAACGCTTTACCGCTTTCTGGAACTAGATTCTTGAATTGAGGGAACTATTTCCTACGAGAAAATGACGTCACTTTGCCAAGTTACTTTGTAAACAATTAAGAGTAAATCTTAAGGTTTTTGCGGCACTTTTACGTCATTTTCTTACCTATAGGAATTGATTCTGTCAATTCAAGAATAGAGTTTCTGTGAGACCCCTGTCGAGGTATAATTTCGCCATAATAAGTTGTAATTTTTAATTTTTCTTCCATCATCTTCATCTAAACATGTGGTACCTTGATGATGATACTCCTTGCCATAATGCCCAAGTTATTAGAGATTGATTAAGTCAGTCCTTTCTTGTACTTTGGTCGAAATGATCCAGTTGCACGACCCGCCCGATCGCCAGATTTCAATCTGTGCGACTTCCATTCCGGTTTAAACAATTACAATACAATTGGGGTAATAAGCGCACGAATAAAAAATCCGAAAATCATGGCAAAAGTGAACGAAAATTTTCAATACTGTGTACAGGTGTTCCTTGATAATTATCGGAGAGCACAAAAGGTTTGTCATTTTTTACTTTTGAACATTATTTATAACAAATTTTATTATTTTTCAATAGTAACCGAATTAATTCCGCATATTTTTGTTTCTTATTCAATCAATTGGCATTTCAATTTATGCAGATAGAAATTTAAAAAATGTATTATCTATATGTGGTTAAAATTTGGATTTATTTCAGTAACATCCTGTATTATTGTATTAGTAATCGTATATTATAACCCGGTGCTGAATTGTTGTTTTCGCAATGTGAGTATCAGAATTTTTAAAGAGTTTCCTATAACTTTTCCTTAACTTTTTTGCTACGTCGAAATAACGTCGAAAATAGATGGTGAAACTTTGATGGATCAGCGCGTACACTTATGCGAGTTTTTGTAGTAAATACGTTGGTAAATAATAAATACGTCCTTAGCGATCCGTAATATTTTATTTATATATATTATATCCGGATATTGAAAAGATATAGTTCTTTAAAATTAAACCTACTTTTGTAACATTGTGTATTAGACAAATAGAAGTTAGTACTTAAATCAATTACATTATGACATCTATTAAAATTAATAATATCTTTTATATATAAGACATATAATTTTTTGTTTAATAAACAATGATAAATATCAACATAACCCAAGGAGAAACTGATTTCTAACAAAACAAATTTTATTTATTTTTCATTTTCTAGACATATCTACGTAAATATATTATTGGGGACATTCTTATCATATTTAACTTAAATATTGTAAATTTTGTTTATTAAACAATAAGAAATGTCATTTCTGATTAATGTTATCATAACAGTAATTAGCAAATATCAATAATAATTATCTGCAATACCCACACTGCTGCTATTTTAAAATATTTATCAAAAATTATTATACGAAATGATTATAGCAACTTCATGTTTAATGCAATTAAGTTTATATAGAATAACCTAATCAATGCTAAAATCTTATTCACGTGAAGAAGATTCATAAAAAATAAAACATACGTAAGTGCTCGTAATAATTAAAACAATTTACAGTTAAGGAGAAATTATAGAAAGAATATTATGTCTATACGAAATGTATAAATTGGCATGAAGTTCAATGACATGAGAATAGAAATATAATTTATTAATTTATTACCCCTGTTACAGGTTAAAATAGTTTATACATTTTAATGGAACGTAGAGCTTTATCAAAAACATAACCATTCAAATTTTGAAACTAAATTACCCTTTTATTTTTTAAGACAATATTAATAATTATGTACAAATTCGTATTTTGTTATTGTTAAATTAAAATTGCAAACGCAATTAAATTTTTTGAATAACCATAATTTTTCTACTTTATCTCCATTAACTGCGAAATAATCTTTCTACTAAAAATTGGCCCTATTCAAAAACGTCTTTTATTTCCGTTATTTCAACAGCTAATGATATTATTTTTACTATTACGGGCAACTACCATCACGTTTCTTGTAGATGATACCAGAATGATTGAAATGACTACTACCTATTATATTATTATACATATATATTATTATTATATAGGTATTAATATTATAATATTATATAAACAATATTTCAGAACCCAGGACCTTTTAAGCCCTGAGGACAGACATGGGGCCAATCTTCATGGAAATGGGGTAAGTTTACGTATATAAAGTAGCATATAAAGTTACAGCTAAAGTATTTTACAATGCGACATATTAACAATATATGTTATAAATTAAACAAAATTCTATTCTATTTTACAATATGTTATTTAATTTTAAAAGAACAGTTTAAGCATAAAGCACAATAATCAAAAACTAATTAATTAGGTACTCTTCTAATAGATTTCGAGTACGTCGATTTTAATTACAATTTGTACTTACTACTTACTTCTGGATCTAAAAATTTGTTCTGTGGCTACTATGCACCAACTGAACTGTCTACCCATTATTCAAATTCATTTTCTTCATTAATAAAAGAGTACCAATTAAATATAAATATATGTTCAGTTAAATTTAAATACATTCGAACTAAATTTTTTGTGACAGAATTGATGTTCAAGTGAATCATATACCGTCTGTTAAGCCGGGTACACATACGCGCGGAGGCGAGAAAAGCCAGAACGAATGTCTCGTTTATAGTGCATGAAGGGGTAGCAGGCAAAACCAAATTTTGTGAGAACTTAAAAATGTAGATGCTACTGAAGACCTGCCTCTACGTGAGATCGAAGCCTTTGGATTGCTATCCGTGGAGAGTGAAAATTTCAGTGAAAGATATAAAACAGAAAGAGGAAGAACATATATTTCGTTTGTTGATTTTATCGTTGCAAATTAATTCAGCTGAGACGACGAACGAGGAAGCAATCTAACCATTAATTCATACTTTATTTTAATTTATCACTGGAACGAATTAATTGATGGAAAATACTGTGTTCGAGCAAAGTAATTTCTAATTTATTGAAAAAGTAAAGTAAACTTTGGTGGACGACCAAGGTCTACTAAAATACATCTGGTTTTAAAGATAATATATTTTTAAATAAGTTAAATGGAGAAAACGGAAACTTAAAAAAAATCAGGAAAATATATTCTAGCGATCTCATTTTCACTGTTTTCGATTCCGACTTTTAGATTGACACATTAAAACCAGGTAATCATCCGAGTAAAAAGTGTAAATCTAGACGCTATTCTGAAAAACAACAAATAAAATTTAAAAATTAGTTAAATCTAATAGTAAAAATACAATTTGGTAGTGTAATATATTTGACGTAATTTATTATAAAGTATAATACAGAATGACAAGACAAAAATTTCCTAGAATTTTTCCTGCAATACTTTGTCCTTATATCAACACCACATGGGTATCCCTGGTAACGAGAGGGCTGATCAGCTAGCTCATCTCGGATCTAGGGACCTGACCAGGGACCTAAACCAATCCTAGGATTCACACGAGGTAGCATTAATGGAGCCCTTAATAAATGGGCCTATCAAACTTTAGGTCAGAACTGGAGGAGAAATAGAGGATGTAGGCAGGCCCATAGTTTTATACATGGACCTAGCAAACCTAAGACGAGATGACTGCTGAGCCATAGTCGAAGAGCCCTAGACAAAATGGTGGGGGTTTTGACAATCCGTTGCAGACTTAGGATGACATTGTTCAGCTTTTGGGAGGATAAGACATAAAGTCTTTGGTGCTGAAGAGATGTAAGGGGTTGAGGTGAGAGACCTTCCATGGACCAAAATCCTGGCGTTCATTAGGGCATCGGGTAGGTTCGAGGAGGGTCAGAGGTAGAGAGTAGATAGGCGATGGAACGGCGGGGTAGGCAGAAAAGGCCCACTTGTGGCCTAATTGCAAGGCTGAGGCCGCCCCTTTTCACTACTACTACTACTTGTCCTTATATCAACAACAATATTGCCTACAGAAATGCGATCGTTACGATTTTGCAGATATATATTCGCATTTGTTCTAATATGAACAAGCCAAAGAACTTATTTTTCCACGTCCTTCTAAATTGTCAATAATAAATAAATGTATCTGTCTTATCATATTTTCCTGCATAAGTAAGTGACAGACGTAGACTTAATTGACAAATAAATTTATCTGGAAAAACCGGATCTAATAAAAGGAAATTTGAGGAGTGCATTGAAACATTTAAGAGTTAAACATGAGTTCTTATTTTAGATATAAAATGATTTTCTTTTGGATTTACCACTTGTTTTTACAAAAATCAAAATAATTAAAGTTTCTTCATTATGTATTCTTAAACCGTCAATATTATTAAAGACATGTTTAGCCCAATCGTCATATTTTAGTTTCTAGTATTTCCACATCCAAGTTTTGTAATCATCCTTTATGTTGTGTTTAGTCGCCAGCAAAATGTTTCTTATTCAAATTCACAACTTCAATTCCTAACACTCCTTGACCCTGAAACATTTATAAGTTGTTTTTGTACAATACACTTATTAAAAGTATTAAATTATTAGTGAGGAGTATCGTAGTGGCCTATGCCCCCCGCACTACTCCCTTTTGCTATACGGTAGTTCCACCGCTTTCTACTTCGGCTAGCTTACTCTAAAATATATTTTCTTCAAAGCAGATCTATTTTGTAGATCTTAGTTATTAAAGAAAGTTAACATTTCTTGTTCAGTTAACTAAAAATGACCACGAACAGAATATTTGCCTCCATTAATTTCTTGGACATGTTTGTTCAATGATAAATAACGCGTCGTTCGTTCCCTCAGGTGAAATCATTTGTGATGAAAAAAAAACAAGCATCCATTCTATTTCGGATTTGTTTTTTAGTCAGAAGTATACGGGGAAGTAGAATCGAAAAAAAAAAACAGACTAAAAAACTTTGACGTATCCACTCTCCATGGATGGTATTCAAAAGACCTTGACTGCTTGGTTTAACTGAAGAATCTACAAACGAGACGTTTGTTCTGTCTTTCCTCGCTTCTATATGAGTGTAAAACCGGCTTAAAGTAAGACCTAATTAGCCTTTATAGTCTCGTATTCGTTCGTGCTCGGATGGATATGTATCGAAGAAAATGCTTAATTTCTAATCCAATTTATTTTTTTTTAAGAAAAGTTCACTAATCACTTATATGAATATTAATTTATTGATTTGGTACTGATATGCAGACTTGCAACCTTATTTCATGAGTTACTGAAATTAAATTAATTATTTCCTAAGTATAACCAGTATAACCTAAGTATAACCAGTATAACCAGTACATTTCACTGGCAATATGTTCGTAATACCTGGAACATCTTTCAAAAAGTAAAAACGAAAATTACATGAATTATTGCAATAAATTTACACAAATATATTTTGATATTTTCCCCTATAATACATATAATAGGCGCCCATAACATTGAATAATAAACTAAAACAATAATGATTATTCGATAAAACGATTTCTTGTTTATTTTATGAATAATAGGGATAAAAACATAAATCTGTGTTATATCTAATACCTAATAACTAAATAAAGTAATCCTTAAGGAGTTCCATAATAAAACAAAAAAAACATGTATACTAAATGACATAATTTTCAAGATACCTAAAAATTGTGACAACTAAGTACGATTTTTTTCCTTAACACGAATTTAACCAAAATATTTTATTGGGATTATCTTTATGGTCACATGTGTGAAAGTTCCTAGTATCAGCTGGCCGACATATGTGCAAGAACAAGAATAAGAGACAGCTGTCCAGTGAGAGGTTTAAAAACAAAGCGACTCAGTCCTAGAATAAATTTTTAGATATTATATATTGGGACATTTTGTGAGAATTTATATAATGTATTAATAAAAAATGATTAATAAATGATGTGTTTACGCTTGTTCTAAATATGCAGCAGAAATTAAAAAAAAAATCTAAGACTGCTTCTATTGATGACGTAGTATCTTAAAAAAGCAAGCTACTTGATTTAATAAATCCCTATTACATTTATCGTAATATCATTTAGGAAAAATCTCTGTATCCAGAAATACCTAGTACATAATTAATTAAATAAACTTTTTTTAAAACACTACAATTCAACTTCGCAATTTTTTATTATATTCTAATTAAAAAATAAACATAATTTTATAATTTATTTAAAAACACCTCTGTTAATAATACTAAAATAATTACAATTACAAGGAAATTAAACCAATAAAAACAATAAAATATTTTTGTGTTATTCAGATATCTTCCCCTTATTTCAATACCAGCTTGAATTTTGTATGCCATCTCCGAGACCAATTCTCGCTTGTAGCATCCCTGTAGGTATTATGATACTCCCGGCGATTTACTACAATCCTTAACAAAGAAAATGTCAGCTAAAACAGAAGCAAACAGAAAGTACAAATATTCGATGTAAATGTAAGTGAGATATATGCATACTGAGGAAAACTAACAAGTTCGGAATCCGTTTATGTCTGAAACTGTTTACTATATATTGTAGGGGTACTTCAATTCTAGTCAGGATAGTCATTTTCCACAAACGTAACACATTAAGGACGGGATTTTGTACAAAAAATATCGCCCAGCGTAAGTCACGAAACGGGACTCCGGCAGGTGCTGCTCTAGCGGCCAACGCTTCAAGTCTAATAATTCCGCTGCACCCGATGTTCGTCCGATTTTTCAGGAACGGCTCCAATTTTTGTACATACAATCTTATAAGGAAAGAGAGTAAATATTTTATTAGTCAGTAATAGATTATCGAGGACAATAATATTTTTTTATTAAGTAGGCATTAATTTTTAGTTAATAAGCTTAAACAATCTTATAATTACTATTCCTTCATTATAAAAGCAGAAATACGGTTTTTAAAATTACATGTAGTTTCTTCTTCAAAAGTGACCTTAAAACAGGTATAACATGGAATAGGCAACAGTCTAATCTTTATATTTTCACATTAACAATCCGATAATGTAAATTAACTGCTATTTTCAGTAAAAATATATACCTAACCTGAATTATTTTTTTACTTTGGCGAGTCGTATTAACTTAAAAAACACTGCTTAATTACTAAAATATATAGAAACTTGCTACTAATTACGTTTGGAGAATAATATGTATAGGCATAAAATATATATAAAATATTATTGTATCTATTTAGTCCATTGGAAGGCTGAACCTCCATTTTTTCCTCTGTCGATCAAACCTGGGCGCAAATATGTTTTCGACCCTCAGGAATCCGAATCCGAAAAATTTTTGACCTAGGTGGTCAGGCAAGGGGTCAAAAGGTAAAAAAAAAACGTAAAAAATAACGTTTTTCGCAAATATCTCCTGAACTACGGCAAGTACCAAAAAAATAATTGCATCATCGTGTTCCCAGGGAAATTTTACATCGATTATTGCTTATTAAAATTAAATAAATTTGTCTTGTTTTGGACAATTACTAAGCAAGAGAGGGGAAGGCATTTGGGGAGTACGCGCACGCTACATGTATCGGCTGACTCGAAGCTGACAGCTCTAACAGGTGCGCTTCTTTCGAATACAATGCGATTTCAAATATAATTAGCCTGCAGTTGTAGGATCTGAGTTCAATTGCCAGATACACTATTCTTTTTGCTACTTTAATTTTTAAATGGAAAACCAAAAATAATACTAATGAAGAACAGAAAAAAAACTTTTTTAGAACGAAATACTTATTGGAAAAATTAAATATAGTGCTCTGAAAAATCGACTTGTAAAGCTTATTCTACAAATACTTGTTCATAAAAAAAGTCAAAATTTGTATAAACAATTGTTCCCAGAATGACAACTTTTTATTTCTTAATTTTGAGGACTTTTGAGGAATTGAATAATGAATAAAACAAGTGTAGTAGTCCGGGCGAATTAGTTTTTTTTTTTCAAAAATCGGGGCTACCTCGAATTTTATGAGTTTAAAATTAAATAAAAAGTACACTAGAATAAAAGCCTAAATTTGTGTATTTGTAGAGGTCGAGCATCATATTGTTTATAACAAAATATAATAAAATAATTGCTTTTTTTCAGTTTTTCGCTTATATCTCCGAAAATAAGGCTCTGATCGACATGAGGTATGCTTATTGATTTTGTTCCTAAGGAAATCTCTTATAGAGATGGGAAAAGATTGGGTCTTTTGAGGGTTTGAACCCGGTTTAAACCCATTTGAAAAGACCCGGTTTAAACGCAAACCCTCTTTTTAACTGTTTTGTATAAAAAGGGTTAGTTATCAGTTATGCAATCAAAGAATTTCCAAACTATGTCTTTGCCTCCACGCATTTATTAATATTAGGTACAGAATTAAAAATTAAAATTCTTAAAAACTTGAGAGCTTTCCGGTACCTAAGTAGGATGGGGTCAATATTTAACATTTTAATCTGCTTTGAGGCCATAAAATGGCGCGAAATTTAAATTATTGAAAAGACCAGGTCTAAATGAAAAGACCGGACCCGGTTTAAATTATCTCGACACAACTCTAATCTCTTATAATAAAAGCGAAACACCCATGGTGAGCCTCTTGAATGACTCACCCTGTATACATCGAGGAGTAACGCAGGGCAGCAAAGTTTTAGTGCCGCTATGTCGTATGTTATGCTTTAACAGTAAATACAAAAATATATATTTTTTGCAACGCGATAGGACATAAGGAGCATATTTGAAAAATATTTTGTTCTGGAATTCCCCGCCACATCAAACTTATATTTTTTGTAATGAAATATCACTTTATTCTCATATTTGCATTTAGTTCATTTTAAGAAGGCAAAAAAGGAAATGTAAAGACCCGACTTGTAGGTATACCTAATGGAAACTCGAGAAAAGAAATTAAAAAAATAAACATTTTAAATTCAATGTCTTTTTTATTACACTATGTGACTAAAAATAAGTTGATTGTTAAGACAACATGAAATTAAAATTGTGTTAGTTATATTCATATTCAAGAATGAATTACTTTTTTGGTGGTCACTTTTTTCATTAAATATCCAGTGGTTTCCTCCTTATCGGTAAGTAGCTACTGATTTGTAGACTGAAAAAGAAATCTACCTGAGCCAAACTAATTTTTAAGTTGTAAATTTATTTTGAAGCTACCAAGGCTAGAACATAAATAACGATTTTATGTAGGACATCCTGTACGTAAAATTTAATCTTTATTCTTAATAAAGAAAAATTAGTACATATTATTGGTTTTTTATGCGTTATATTTTCGTACTACTTAAGCTTTACAAAATCTTATTACTTAGGTACTTTTAAAAAATTACTCATATTTATATATCAAAGATAATATTAGACCATTATCCTTTATTTTAGCACGCATTTTATAAGCCAACTCTGTGTTTTCGCTTTCATTTTCAAGGGTAGCGACACCTGTGACAGAGTATACAAACTAATTATACTTACAAATTCTTGTATTTAGATAGAAATCACTACAATTCTGGTTTAAATATGAAATAAATATGGAGTCGTGTGTAAAATGTTGTCATTTTACTCGAGGACACAAATTATAGAATTATTAATAAATATTAATCTAAAAATTAAATACAAATGATCCTAGGTGTCCGTTCTAGTGAGTGAAGTAGTTTGGTTATTGTGCCTGACCTAGTTCCGTCGTAAATGCAATATATTGACAGACTAACAGTATGGTTAAAATTGAGGTACTTTGGCATTTATTTAAATTATTCTTCTGTTCTCATGAGCATTGAAATTTATCTCACTCACTAGCGGGAACCATTGCGAATACATTGATATATAATAATATTCAATTATGTTAGTTTCTTCGATGATTTGTGTCCTCATCTGAAGCTCTGTTACACGGTAAAAATATACATACTAAATCGCCCCCTTAAACTAAAATATTTTGTTCAACAACTGCCCTTCAATGCGATTCATTCAATAAAACTTTCTATGCATAAAGTATTTGAGATATCTGAAAATTTTAAATTAAATTTATTTATTTCTAATACATATTTCGAAAACAGTTCTTTGACTATAAAGATTATTCTATTTTTTTCCTTTGGATATTTTGTGAATAAATAGTGACTATATTATTTACGTGTAAAGAAAATTAAAAATGTATCATACTGGGTGTTACGAAAAAAGATGCCAGACATTCAAAGCAGAACGTCGTATACAAGTAAGATTTTGAGAATTTTAGTTTTCTTATATATAATAAATATAATTTTACACAAAAAGATACTCTAGTTAAAATTGGGAAATGCGTCGTTTTTGCAGAAAATGCACTTGATTGTGTTACAACACTGTCACTTTAGGAAATATCTATACAAGCTAAAGCGTGTAAACAGTCCGTTTGCACGTAGTAGAATGACGCTCGTCGAAAAACCCTATCTGGAACCCATAGACCTGAGAGAAGTGTCGGTAAGGAAACTTTTGGACTTTGTAAAAATGACAAAACTACTTGCTGAATAGAATTGAACAGTGGGACGCACAATAGGTCTGATAAGGCCGTGGTACTATGGGACTTGAAGAGAACTAACCCACAAGTTTATATGGGTTTTATATGGGGTTTATATGGGGTTTATATGGGTTTATATGAAGAAGAAGAAGGGTTTATTCAAATATTCTTTAAAATTTTATATTTTAATTGCGCAAAAATATTCAACTGAACAGAGAACAAACTAACTATTCTACAAGTAAATAATTCCAAAAGTAATACATAAACCTATTTAATCAATTTCAAAGTAACACATTTAGTCATCACTTACAAATTATGTTACTAGTTTATTTTTTATACTTACTTACAATGTACGATTAACACGAATATAACATAAAAAATGTCAGAGTTTAACAGCAGAAAATCATTTCAACCTTCTTTTCAGTTGACCACCCGGTATATGAATTATTCTTGATATATGTATGATGCAGAAACTTTACAGACTTCTAATTGCTGTATCTAACTCTATTTAACTTGACATTTTAATGCAGCAGTCATATTTGACCTATTTTATATTTCCGGAATGATATAAACATTAAATATAATCGTTTTCACATGTTTTGTTGTAGTCGAGACCAGGCTTCAGTAAAATAGAAATATGCTGCTCTGGTTATGAGAAGGTGCCCCACAGTTACTACAAATGTGAACCAATTTGCGAAGGTGGATGTATAAACGGTAAGAAACATTTCTTAAACCCTTAAAATTGTGACGTACCTATATGACTAGCTATATTTTTCTTTGGTCGACATTGGAATAAACATGTAGTTCTATTAGGTATACGACCCAAGCTTCTTTAGAGGTGACATTCAAAAAGCTTCCTTCAGTACATTTCTATTCATATTTAATTAATCAATGAATTTTGAAATATAATGCTTTAAGGACAGTATAACCCACTAAAATGACGATGTATATGATTTCGAATATCTTTTCATCTACCTTGTAATAAAAATATCTTTCAAAGACTACAAAAACTCTCAAAGAACAAGTGTTTTAGATTGTCTTAACGACTTCTATATTTTGGATAAAAAATAAGCGTCTGTTCTAAATTTCATCAAAGTATCCTGAAACCATAAATGTGTCCCAGAAACAAATATCAAAATTTTAATCGTGCATTTAATTCATCAATAGCGATAACTTTTGTCTAATAATTTATTTTCGAAAACCTTTTACTTTTTAAAATAACATAATATTTAAAAATTGTGAATTTTTGTTACCTGCAACCGTGGCAAATGTCGAATTGCTGTGTTGAGTAAATACAGGACGAGCAAAAATTGGAAATTATCATTTAAAATAATTAGAATAAATTAACATTATCTTAAAAAAATTAAACAAAAAAAAAGGAAAATAAGACGATATTTGCACTCAGCGTTATGAGTTTTCTATTATCTTATAGGTAGGGTTAAGTAGCTATCTTTCCCTTAAGGGGTAACACCACTGTAAAATTCTAAAATAAAACGTTTTGCCACTTTTTTAATGGAAGGAAATGTAAGAAGATCTGTTAGTGTATTAGGAAAGTTCGAAATCAAAAGGTAAATCATGAGGTTGTACCCTTCCAGCAGGTAGTGATTTTGGAGCAGTGGAAAAAGCTAGGAATTTCAAGGAAAAAAGTTTTGTACTGCCATAAAACTTTTTTCCCTTTATGCTAGAAGGTTCAACGCATCTTTGAAATCAATAAAATTAATAAATTTTCTGAAAATTATACATTATTGTTATATATTTTATTACATAACCATTTTGATATTGTGTTTTCTTCATTATATTATACATTATTTTCATGGAATATTCACAGTTTATTTAAAATGCCCTTTATATATTGCCAAACATTCAAATTAATATAACAAATAACATGAATTCACTGAATCTTTATAGGAAACTGTACAGCTCCAAACGTTTGTGAGTGCAAAAGAGGTTATATTAAAATCAACAGTACCTGCATCCCTACGTGCCCATTTGGATGCCTCAATGGAATTTGCACAAACTCAGGTATGTGCTCCTGCAATGCTGGTTACCAACAGAGTGCTGATCGTAAATACTGTACTCCTCATTGCACTGGGGGATGTGGAACTGGAGGTACATGTACCGGACCAGAAACTTGTACATGTTCCAAAGGGTAAGTGTTGGCTACTTATGTAACTTTTAGATGTTGATGTCCTTATTCTCTTTTTTTAAATAGTGTTGTACTTTATAAAGAAGAATTATATAGACCAATACATATTTAACTTTATTTGCACAGATTCGTATAATTAAAAAATAATACATTTTTTCGTCATTCTCAGATTTTCAGAAACCTTTTTCAGTTCTTCTAAGGTTTGGAAGGAGACCTACCCCTCTTTGGATATGCTCATGCTGAGAATATACTTATGTTTTGTGTCTTAAGATGATGCATTACCGACGTATATTTATAGTAATTTTCTCTTTATTCTTGACATCTAGCATCTTCTGTTAAAGCTGAAACGACTTTCATAAGTGGATAACCCAGAGTAAATTTTAGTTTTCAAATGTAAGTAACATATACAACTCATTTCCAACAAACAAGGTATAGTGGTCGATGAAACAACGTGCATATTGATCGAGTCGTTTTATAAGTTAACGATTTTACATAGCGGAAAATGGGAATTTTGCAATCATTAGAATATTTTTTAATATTAGAAACCATAAGTGGGGAAAGAAATATATGTGTCTGACTGACTAAATAAAAATTTGTAAAATATCAATATTGTTAAAAAATCATGGTGTACCTATCCAATGAACTCTTGAAATATTATCCATATGATCCTATAACATCTTCTAATGTAGAATTCTTTGTTGAAAGACATAAGCACACGTAAAATGTGCTATATTCTGCAAAACAAAGAAAAATATATGATAATTTATAATAATAGCTGCAGCAATAGTAATACAGAAAAATATATGCATGTACTATAAATTTATGTTGTGTAAAGTTTCAGCAGTGCCGTTAATAGTGCTAACATACTCTCTAGACTGGCTAACTTGTTGTGTGTCTCCTAAAGTAGTATAAATTTAATATTTGTATTACTTGTCTTTATGATTAATCTGTATAAAACTTTTGAGTTCTGTGGTGATTATTGACATTATTGACTATTAGTAATGACTTGTTAAAATTCATTATTCTGTTTTTACTGTACAAGACACAACCAAAGTAAGTGCTTTAAAAATGACATACTTTTCATTTTTCAAGTAATGAAAACATAAAAATAATGTCTGCGTTGAAACTTATGGACGTAAACATATAATTAACATTAGAATTACTTCAATTTTTATGTTTTTAAACATCGCACTATATTCGTAATTTGCTTCAAAAATTACTTAAAAAGTAAGAGCCATCGAATGATTAATAAAACAGTTACAAATATTCGCCAAATGTGATATCAGAATTCAAACACCTAATATTCTGAAAAAGCTTTACAGAAAGTACCGAATAATGTTGAAAATGCCGAAAAACATGTAATTACCTTGATATTAAAGCCATGTTTTATTTATTAGATAATCATAAACTATTAGCATAAACTTTATTAATGGACTATTCAGATCACTCTCCGCGTAAAGTCATGTTCCAAACGAACCGGCTTTAGCTCACGAGAATAACATATCACTTAGTCTTTGTATCATGGTATTAATCTTCTTGAATTTACAACATGCCGGTAACGGTAGCCCTCCTACAACCCCTTTGGAGCTTGCACGAATCACGTTTGAAAACTAAAATTTGCTCCGAGTCACCCTATAAAAAATAAACTGACAACCAATATTTTACGCCTAGAAAACAAATATCGTACTTATAGATATTATAGAAATAGAATCAGTCATCTATTTACGGAAATCTTCTTACACTAATCTTCTTTCAATATATTTTCAGATTTGCTGTGAACAAGGACACAAGGAAATGCGAATATCACTGCGAAGGTGGCTGCGGACAGGGAACTTGTATAGGACCAAACACTTGTTCCTGTAAAGTGGGATATAAGCTACTACAAAACGGTTGTGTCCCGGATTGTCCTAAAGGTTGCCTAAATGGAGAGTGTACTGCTCCAAATAGGTATGTATTAAAATAGACTAACCTTTACCAGAAATTTTGTTAAATGTACAGAGTGATTCGTAAATACACCGACATAGGGCAGGTGCATGTAGGGGACCCTAAAATATGATTTGACGCAACTTACCTTCCAAATTGCTAACACTTGTTAGTAGGCGTATAAGTTGACAGAAATGTTTAATTTCTTCCAAATAACTATATTATGTTATAAAGCCTTGTCCTATTTAAATGATATTTACGTATAGATATAATTTTTGGCACAGTAACCAAAGTAATTGCTTTATAAAACTAGGATAGATATCTCCTTTTTCTGTAATTTGTAACTGCATGCTTTTTCATGAATATTATGAAAACGATCACCATTATCCTTCAGATTTTCTTTATTCTGCAAATTATCGAACCATACGTTATTTAGTCATTTTCATTTTTGTCAATAAAATACCAGCTTGACTTTCTGACTCTGGGGTATACTGCACACCATGTGAATGCGGGAAGGGTTTTGGATTCTGGAATAGTTTGGAGGGCAGCTCAGTATGAGCTACAGCACTTAGGCCCCATTGACATCCTTCTGCATCCTCCCAGCGAGAGATCAGCTCTCTTGACCCGTTAACCAGCCTATCAAGGAGAAAAAGGTGATGACATTACTCTCTGAAGTAGGCCGTAGAAGGCCACCGTTCTCCTAGCACGGATTCTCTCGTTGACGAGACAACAGTGCACTCGCAGAATATATGGAAAACTGTCTCCTCTTCCTGCACACAACCTCTACAGAGTCGTGTTTCGCACTTCCTGCTCACAACCTCTACAGAGAGCTGTTTCGCACTTCCTCATACTATAGAGGCGTTTCCTTAACCAACAGTGTCCGGTCTAAATACCTGTCACCAGGCGAAAGCTTACTCTGGACATAGCCAGGTAGTTTTTGGCTGTGTCTTTGCTGAGATATCCTAAGAACTCCTTAGAAAATTTATAGCTGTTTATTTCATCCCACCGTGTTCTAAACTCTTTGTGGGTGTTTTCCTTAATCATTTCAAAAAGTGCTGACAGCCAGAGCACACTGCATGGACTGGGACCAATATAGTACGACCCGATGCCCTCCCAGCTAGCTTATCAGCTTCTTTATTGTCATTGCACCGGTAGTGTCCCTTAACCCAGCATTCAGATATGTTGTTGGTAGCTGAGGCCACCACCAGCACTTGGTGGCATTCCCATATCGATCTGGAAATTATCTTCCGATTATGCAAGATCAGTATTGATTGTCTACTATCTGTGTAGTTTCTAATACTTTTGCCCGTTATCTGCCTACGGGCAGGTTCTTTAACAGCTATGGTTATACCTGCCAGTTTCGCTTGTATCACGGTGGCTCGTATATCCATAGCCCACTGATATCTAATGTGTAGGGATCTCGAATAGATCCCACATCCTGTATCTTCTTTCCTTTTTGGTCCGTCAGTGAAGATGTTTAATTACACCCTCACTGACGGTCTCCTCCAGTATTCCAAAAATTATTTTCGATTATACATCCCATCCCATCTCTTCTGAGCGTTATCTAACTTCTTTTAACAGTTGCCCCCCTCTAGATTATTGTATTTTTTAATTTCTCATAGAATTTAAGACCTACTTTCGCGACAACTATTTTAGCTAAGCCGTACTGTTTCAAAGTTATTTCATGTAGTAAAATTTAATGATTCAAAACAAAACATCAAATCAAGATGTTGTTTTCGCCATTCATTCAAACATGAACGAATCTATTTTATACATTAAGCAGGATTTACACTGTATCACTTTTGATGTACATCCAAAGTGAATCACTTAGAGTGAAAGCGTCCAGGGTAATCATCCTCGTTTACAAATTTTCATCGAGTTTGCTGGTTTCACCTCCCGCGCACTGTTACTGTTCCTATTTCATGTCTGTAAAAGGACAACTAGTAGTAGTACCAGGTGGCAGGATATATCGTTCAGGAAGGAATGCAAAGATTATCCGCGGAGGAATTGACTTAATTTCACGTGGACTGATACATGAACTGAATTCAATTATATCGACAACTGAACGTGCTGAAAGGCATTGGTAGGTGAAACCATGGATTTCAACGAGAGAAAATCTGGAAAATTTAAATTAAAACAACCAAAGCAAACACAAAATAAAACTACGATAGAGATTCGACTAGCGGTTGTGAAATGAACAGTGGCTGTTTACACTTTTTCACTGGGCCTTCACTCTGGATGAATCATCGCTTCGGGGAACGACTCTTTCATCAAAGGTTGGCCGTGGGTCAATATACTTCATCCCTCATCTTTAGTGTATACTTTGGATGAAACCAAAATGATAGGTAATTTACACTTACCACTTTGGATGATTCTTCCAAGATGATCATCAAAAGTGACAAATGTAAATGAGCCTTTTTAGGTATTTACTATCTAGCTAGACTGGTATTCCCGCGAGCTTCAACATAACACAAATGCTTATCATCAAGTTCTCCAAATCTGTAATTACCCTCCATGAAGTCAGAAATTAATTATAGTACGTAAAACACGATTAGCAGACAACTGTACACTGACTCAAGTTGACTAGCTGTATGTTTGCAATACAGCGCCAGTTGATGGAAGGGCCGAACTGAAGAATGACAAGCATTAAGTGAATAACGTTCTGTACACAGACTCAGGTAGACTACTACTGTAGTACAGTGTGTTTACAGTCTTCCATCCGCAGCAATAACATTACGTCAATGGATGGAGTGTAGCTAACCAAATGACAGGAAGTCAAACTCCTACTGCTGTAAAGATTTCATTTCACATTTCCGGTTATAGATTTCGAATTTCATCCCCTACAATCTCCCAACGTAACTTTTAACGTAACACCCTGTATATTATGTTTCATTGTAAAATGTTAAATAACGCCAAAACAAATTGGACATTTTCCCCTGTATAATATAAATTTTTCAAATTGCAATTATTGATTTGACACTTTTTTGTAATATTGATACTCCCAGAACTTCAGAAGAATGCGTGTTAAGCGACACCCTGCCAAAAATTAATTATTCGATATTTTTGTTGGATCCATTATAAGTTATACATAACCTTTCAAAAATTAGTAAAAGCAAATCTTTTTCTTTTAAGGTGTTCTTGTAAACCTGGATGGAACCTAGATGCAGCAACTAATTCTATTTGTACTCCCCACTGTACACAGACTTGTCTAAATGCTGACTGCGTTGCTCCCAATACATGTGCTTGTAAAAAAGGTAATATAATTTCGTTTTATAATAGCTATTAGTTCCTATCATTTACAATGAATCTTATTTCCATTAGTATGTTATACATATACAGGGATAAAAAATATTTCGAAGCAAAACCATTACAATTATATATTATTATTATATTAAAACATTCATAAAAAAATTGTTCTTCTAATGTGGACAACACTGAAATAATTCATTTCGGTATTTTATTTTTTTTAACATATATTTTAGGTTATGTGCAATCTCCTGGCCCCGAGGGACTTTACAAGTGCGTTGCCTTCTGTCCAAATGGTTGTCCAAATGGAGTTTGTTCTGCTCCAAACTTTTGTATTTGTAATCCCGGATTCATTAAAGAATTTAAAGGAAGCAATGTATGTATTAGGAGATTCCGCAGATCTATCATGCATTTTGAATTGATTCCCGAGGAAATATTGGAAGGCCAATAAAAAATGTAATTTGTCTATAATATTTCTTACATATCTCTTAGTAGGTAAATGATAATGTACTTTTAATAATCAGTTTAAAATTGTATACTTAAATTTGATATCAGTGTTGAATATTGCAATTATGTATATTTGTAACAAAAAAAAAATTCAAAAAATATTGTTCTTTAAAAATATATGAATATAGACTGTATTTTAATGATAAATCAAGTACAGCTCCCTCCTTGTAATTTTATACAAAATACGACTTGATTTGCTTGGTGATTAATAACCCACTCTATAAAAAGTTACAAGTTAAGCTTTTTGTGGAACACATTGTATTGTATAGAATAAAGCAATACAACAAGACAAAAGTATTAATATATCAGATGTTTCTTTGCCATAATTTCAAAACATTTTTCCTCGGATCATTTTGGACCAACAAGCTTTAATGAATGTGTAAAGAAAGCTATTTGATCAAAATCCAGAGGTTGATGAAACCTGATTAATAATAATAATTTATATGGATAGTTGAAGGCAAGAGTTACAGTGTCTTATTTTTATGTTGTATATAAAAATGTTTATGTAGTAACATATGAAAGCTAATGTTCTGTATGGGAAATCTCCAAAAATTTGTGTGCCTTTTTACAAGACAATATGTACAAAGTCCAATAAATAGAAAACTCACAAGAGAGAAAAGGATTAAAGGGAAAAACTGTAACTAAATAAACGTGAAAATTTTTATGTTTATACTGGAAAGCTCTATCAATAACGTCATTGACTTAAGAGTCACTTGAAATTCGGATTACAAAAAAGCTTTACAAAAATAAAATATTTGACCTGAAAATTAACTAACTTTAATATGTTTAATTTAATCGGAGCGTATAAACATTTCTTCTTTTGTTTATACAATAAACAAAAAAGCCTTATACCTATATATTTTCGTTAAGTTAAGTTTTCTTTATACAGGGTAGGAAAGTACCGATGGTCTATCTGAAGTTACGTGAGAGCGATAAAGTAAGCCATAGAAATCCATGCGATAGAGAAGGATGGCTATAATGAAGGCGTCTCGTAATCACCGCCCGTTTCGCCCTTCCACAAATAAGATCCACTTCTTATTTGTGGAAGGGCGAAATGGGCGTTGACTATTAGACGCCTTCATTATAGCCATCCTTGTCTATCACATGGATTTCTATGGCTTACTTTATCGCTCTCACGTAACTTCTAATAGACCATCGGTACTTTCCTACACTGTATGTACATATTACATAAGAAACTTATGGAGAAATCTCTCATGTAAGATTAAAATTTCTTATATAAAGAAACTTAACCTAACTTATAAGTGGAAATCTGTCTCAAGTACCAAAATAACTTAAGTAGTTAAATTATAGTGGCTCTAAAATCCATTGCGTGAATTTTTGTAGAATTTCCCTGCATTACCTTAAATTTCCCTTCATTGCCTACAAATTACACACATTTCCTTGTATTATCTGACATTTCCTTTGAATTAACTGTGTTTGTTTATATTTTGCTTGGAGCACTTTATAACTATTGGTGTTATATGTAATTACATTACTATGTCTGCAGATAGTCCAAATACCTACATTTTCAGATATCGAGTTTCCTGTGAAAAAAATCTACAAGTTCCGTTATTTTCTATCAGATTTTTTTAAATAAAAGATTGCCGTTAATTACTCTAAAAATATTACAAACTGACACTTAATAACATTTTTTATGCAACAACAAACTACCTTAATGTTAGATAGATAATTTTGTTTTCGCGAAAAATGTATAGGGAAATAGGTATTATCATAAAATTCTGGAATGAAATAAAATTTTTACAGACAAATTTATCATTGAAGCTAAGAAACAATATTATCATGTCTTAACAATATGTAGCATGCCAACAACGTGTTTCTGCTTTTAAGTTTCTACATGAAATTTAATGTCATAAGATCAACAAATGATTTCATATTAACTTATTAAATTATAGGTATGCATTCTAATAGAAAAATATCGAAAATTGAAACGTGATTTTATAAGTAGTCAGGACGGATTTCGCCCTAAGATAACAATAAAGTTATTGCAAACATTCGGCCTTTGGTACAAAAATCTTTTCGCACATGAGAATAATTCGGATATATAACACCAGCATCAAAAAAAAAAAACTCGTGTGCTACTCATTTTGATGCCAATAATCGATAAAACACACTCTTAATCAATGGCTCCTAATATTTAAGATTGGTCATTTTAATTAATAGAATATCAGGATGTTTTAGACGAAAGCTGCTCTATTCATACGAGGAATATCATTTGAACACATATTTTTCACCCTCACCAAGCTTAGTGAGCGGAGATAGATGACTTTAAAATTTTTGAGTCTAAATATTTCTGAACTGCCACATTTTTAGGAACAATTTTTCGGACAAAGTTTGCTCAGTTCAAAGAGGAATATCGTTTCGAAATAACATTTTCCTACCCCTTCCCTTGATTATTTTTTATTTATTTATTTTTTCTTAAGAATTAGGAATCACAGAGTTTTTGTTCTGTTCAAATATCATATATCATTTGTTTTTATTTTTTTTTTTCTTTTGCGACTAGGACACCTCCACGTTGTCACATCTTCGCAGATCATTTGAAAACAAAAGAATAATGTTTTGCAGAAACAAAAGTTAACCATAATCTCATTAGTATGGGCAAAGCGTAGACTTGTTTGGTAAAATTGAGAAATTTTTGGGTCCATTTTCACCCTAATTGGACAGATATTCTATTAACTAAAATGGCCAACCCTAAACATTTTTATCGATTATTTATTATTGATTGGCATCAAAATGAGTAGCACTACCGGAGTCTACATCTTCTCGCTTTAGTTTTTTTTTTGTGTGCCTCCTAAGTCTGAAGAAGTAACTTCTACCATATATTTAACTGTATGTGGATTATAAAAAAGCAACAAGAGCACCCTTCTTGATTTAACGCAGCTCGTGGACAAGATGAGATTGGTCAAGCTGTATATGTCAGAAACTAAGCAAGAATGTCGATAGGAAATTTTTATGTTCGTATGATGATGTATCTCTACATTCTACACTCTGGATAATACAACTCCCAGCGTCATGGATCATGGATCAGATGAAATGCTTTAGCTTTATGGAAGGAAAACGAAGTACTGTAATTGTATATTAGCCGTACTACTACGTTTTAACCCATGTTGATTCTCCGCAGAATATTACCTATAAGGATTACTCTGCACTTTCCTTGAATTTCTTGCTACTTCCTAGAATTTCCCCGAATTACCTAATTTCCTCAGAAATTTCTGCAATATCCCAGATTACCCTACATTACCTTTACATTTCCTTATGAATGCACTCCAGATTTCCTTACTCATTTACCCCTCTGTTCCAATTAACTAACATGCATTTTTAAACATAACTAAATGTCAGGATTTTACGACAGTTTTCGATAAAAATATATACTTTAGTTAGTTCCCAAATTGACACATCTGACTTTAAGAAGTTTTAAGAAGGAAAAAATTGTCCAATCTGAACCAACATATTAAATAATTCAGATCCCTCTTTCTGGGTCTGAGGTCCTGCTGTTTCTGTCGGGTAACTTGTTTCGGGCACACTCAAGTTAGATTTAAAAAAATCATTTTCCACCTCTATCCGACAGTGTGTTAAAAAGCGTTGTAAAGCAGAACTCATCACCGTGACACATTTCGAATCTCAATTCGGTCACCGTTCGGTTTTAGGCGATTGCGTGATGACCCCACGGGCTGAGGGCGTCCAACGGCGGCGCCACGCAAACTGACTCGTCGGGGCGCCGCGTATAGTAGACCGCCGTCGCGTTTGTATGTGTTTATGCCAGTGAATTCCGTGTTATTAATATTAATTTACTATTCATAGAAGTAAGGTAAGTGTGTAATCTGGATCGCAGATCTTAATTTTATGTCGGAATAAGTCTTGAGTTCTTCTATTGTGACGTGAGTTTGTTTATTTTATCTCGGGGTTCTATCGATCGCCGTTGAAGAATAAGATCGTATAGTAACAACGAAAACATTCATCACCCCGTCTTGTATAAGACATTCTCATCCCAAATTAAGAGAGGAGTAATTATATAAACCGAATAATTAATTTTGATGTTTTTTTATATATAAATATTTGTAGTCATCAAAGTAATGTACTTTGGTATACTTTAAAATGAATACTTATAATTTCATATATAAAGAAACAGCGTCAGTTACTATGAATTTTCTTCAATAAAGAATAGTACTACATTACGTTCTTCTTCACAGTGTTGTTTAAATTTTTCCTAAATACAAAATACTATAAACAATATGTGTATTTAACACAAACTAATGTTACACGTAAAAATGTACTAACTTAAAACACAACTATGATTTAGCTTTTTTATTGGATGCTTACATAATCTGGTTTACGCAAGATTATATGCCATATCTTAATTAAGAATATTTTGGTTAAAATTGTTCAGGTGATTAATTACTTTTGGTTTTATTGAATGGATATACAATACTAGGACCAATTTTACAATTGAAACATAGATATATTTGCTTTCCCTTTGATCGCCTACGTCACTTCAGGTATCTTCTGAGTTAAATAAATAAAAAATAATTTGGAAAGAGAACAATTCATCAAAATTCATTAAGGACAATTAAAATTAATTGTTACCATACGTAGTGTGTTTTTAACATCATATTAACTATTGAATATGAATTAGGTATCTATTATATTATAATTATCGTTATCTTAATTGAATCAGTTGTTAAAAAAGGGCGAAGATAATTAATTTCCCAGAATTATATTAAGAGTGTTAAAAATATAAAAAACAACTATTTGGATTAAAAGTACTGTTTCGGTCCCTAATTTTAATGTGTACTCACTCTGTTGATGACTAAGAGCTAAATAATTATTAAAAAAAACAAATATATAATTGTACTATAACCGGAGCTTTTACCATTATTTGTAATTTAATTTAGATAATGCCAGTTTAAGGGTTTAAATCAATGAATTTGAAAAGTATTTTTTCCTGACTGCAGTTTTTTTACTACTATTAAAATGGTTCTCAATTACACTAATAATAAATTAAATTGTCATGACCTGCAAAGCAGTTGACGTACATTTTGTTTTTCTTCATCTTTAACTACCTACTAAATCCCAAAAATATATCTACTTTAATATGCTTTAGATAGGACAGGGGTAGAACATGTCAGGTGTTCATTTTTAACTCAATATTAAGTGATAAATGATTGATTTGGCCAACATATTTTCGTCAATATTTTAATGGATTTCACTTCCTCATCGAATCAAATTAAATTCATAAATCCAAGTGAACTGTAATTTGGGCTTTTTATTAACTCTAACAAACATAGGTATGGTATATTGACACAAGGTACTTTCTTTTATTAGTTTTACTACCATCCCATTAAACAGTTGTCATACTTAAATATATTGAACAAAAACATTTTTGTAACATTCATTAAAATTTTTTAAATATAGATTATCTTGGATTATTACAACTTACTGGATGGTTTGAAGTATTAATAAACTTACCTTTTTTGCTAAACAGAAATAAATTCTGAAATAAATGCATTCCGTCATAAATAGTTTTCGTTAAGCAACCTGCGGTTTAACATGTCATGTGTTTTAGAAAATTAATCAGGAATTACTACGCGAAACTTAGTCCGTCTCTGCATCGCCGCACTTCATCAACTAGTCAACTGTAGTAAGTAAGTCAAATTCAGTGTGATTATTTGCTCAGCAGCGCGGGCGAGGACTTACTTATCTTTTTTCCTTTCATCCACTGTAGGTTAATTAACATTATTTTATTTCAAAATACCTTATTCAAATCAAGAATTAACGGATATTGTATTAATGTACAGGGAGTACAAATGTGCTTTAAATATGACAAAGACAACAACCGAATCCCAGAACTATGCAAAATGTTGAACGTTGTTCAAAGACTACAGGACACCGGTAGTATGAACATATCAAGATCATGTACAACAAAAATCGTAACGTATTTCAAATAGGGAAGACCTTGTCTAGAAAAACCCTAGTCGCAGTAACCGCAATATTGCACGTGAAATTGCTGTTTCAAATGCTTTTGTGTGACGTGTGCTATGGGAGCAGTTACAGAACCACAATGTAAAGACTTTGATTACAAATTATTTTCAGCCGCATGTAAAATTTTGGCGTTGGTTATTGACATAAAGAACTTTTCCAACGGCAATTATATAGTGGGGTATTTTTGGTGACAACTTATTTGCACCAATTCTATTGGCGATTCACTTTAACGGTGTATTTAATAATTATTTAAAGTTTCTAGGATGGAATGGACCTGTGCATTGGCCAGCATATGCTAACATACACAATTTCAAGAGATTTTTACAGAATTAATAATAATGTATTATAAAGTTTTGATTAAATAATTATGGATTAATAAATAATTAAAACAATAAGGAAATAATGAAAATAATTGTGTTGATACTGAAAAGGATTTTATTAACACTTTAAATCTGTTATATCATACAAATTAGACATCCGCTAAAACACACCCGATGATTTATGGACATACTTGCATCGATTTTCTAGAATATTTATATAAATTTCGCAGCCCAGTCTGAGAGTGGCAGCATTGAACGAGCCTTACGGGAAATATAAAATATCTACAATTTTTCGCACCGCTAATTTACATTTAATATTAATAACATAAATCATGAAAATCCATTCCATCCATCAATTACGTATTTGACATAAAATAAAATTATTTTCTGTTAGTGGCGGATGTATCTACTAATTTCAGTTCTTATTTTGAATATGAGGCTATTAACAAGAATCTAATGGATTATTATTAATAAATTGTGTATTTCATATCTGATCAAGCTTTACTAAATTAAACTGCAGTTTTTCAAATAATTTATCTGTTACCTATTTACTTAAATAAGATCATGGAAAAAATGCAGGAAGTGTGTTTTGTGCACACTTGTATAAAGAAATTTGTTATAGTACAAAGCAAAATTATTTCAACAAATAATAACAATTTATTTAGGTATAATGATTACAAACTAGCGCAAAAAAAATAGTTGACACTATGTAATAAAATTTAAAAAATACGGATAGGTACCACGACATACTAAATAAAGAGCAAAATATTTGACGAAAACAATGAGTAACCTAATATGAAAAGCCTTTTCTTAAAAATACGTCTTTTTGTTTTTCCCTATTGTTTTTTCCATTGTAATCACACTCTCAAACATAATCATTATAATGTCATAGTAAGCCTGACTACAAGCTCCTACACTTGCAAATATACAACAATTAAAACGAACGAAACTAAAAAAACTTGCGTTAAGGAAATAACACCAAACATTCTCAAAAATGTATCTACAAAAGATTCATACAGTTTGTAGTATAGTCTATTGCTATAATAATATAATAATAATAATAATTTCGGGATATGTTACCTTTTCTTACCTTAACATGCTTAAGTTATTCTTCTTCTTCCTCTTCTCTACAAACCTCTTTCTTCTTATTTGGGCGCCAGCTTATGTAAGCATATATTTATAATTTAATTTAGATATGGTCTGCTAATTTATAGAGAAAGTCCTTGTTCAATTTTAAAACAATCTGAAAGGCTGAGAAAGAAACTATTAAAATTTTTATATTAATCACTGGCAATTGATATTTAAAATTTTTCTCTAAACTTTATTTGACCAAAACTACTGTATTTATAATAGAAAAATGATTTCAATTTTATTTTACTTTTATCATCCACTTTAGTTAAATAAAATATATTTTATGTAAATGGCTAACAATTTGTTTTATTTATTTAATTTTCAATGCAAAAACTAATTTCATTTCTAAGTTAAGAGACGACCTAATCCTACCCTAATCTAATCTACGCCAATTCTTATACTAAATAATAAACTAAGCAATTATATTCTACTGACGGATATTCCGTAATAAATTAACCATAGATATGTAAAACTTTGGTTATTAATATACGTCTGTACCTTCTTAATCTGTCTTAGGCACTAACCTTCGTATCCTTTTTGTCCCTTATGCTTTTCGGGTTCTACTCTGCACCCTCTAGACTTGTCAATATTCCTTGATCAGCATCTGTCATGTGAGTCCATGTATCGTATTTGTTCTCTAGATGTTCTGTACTTCCTATAGGTAGGTGATGGTGAATTAGGTTATTTCGGTTCTCCACATGCTTGGTTCGATCTCTATAACAAGATTGGATTTAGAGTTTTTACTTATGCTTCTTTTTTCCATGAATTTCAATTAAATGGTGTAGGTAGGCTTTCCTTTTCTTATTACTTTTGACTATATTTGGGCAATAACTTTTCCTTCTTTATTTCATAAAATTCTACTCTTCCAAAATTTTTCTTTTTATCATTTTTTTATAATTATTGATTCTTTTCTCGTCTCCTAGTAACCCACACTTTTTCTGTTTTATATCCCACTATAATTTTCTTTTAAATCACACTCTTAATTCTAGTAATACAAATTTTTTACCAATCACAAATTTAAATTCTCCATATAATTCATTACATGATATTTAATTAAATTTTTGTTTGAAATCCTCTCTCTAAATTCAATTTATTTTATGTATTTTTTTTTATCTCAACCGCCTCCTTTATTCCTATTGATTCACTTCTGTCAACTTATACTATTTTGGTTAAACCAACTTGGTCTAACTTATCTTTCATTTTAAACTCAATTTTGATATTTTTTTTAACCTTTATTATTTATATACCTTGCCTTAATTCATTCTATCCAAATATACTATGGTTTTTTAGTACAATTATAACCAAAATTTATACATTAAAAAAATGGTACTTCCTTCAAATGTACTTCTTGAAGTTTTTTCCACTGATCTAACAAAATGCTCAAATCTAGCTCTTACGTCAGGCATTATGCATACAAAGGACACAGTCAACACAAAAGAAACACCAAAAAGAAGACGATTGAGATTGAGAATCTTATTTGTGATCATTTCATTTTCAAAGCTGCTTGAAGAACGGACATAATCGTAATTCTTTTTATAATTAACTTAAATATGTTTTGTATAAGTTATCTACACCCATCATATTATAATTGTCGCCACTACAATATTTTAACAATAGCATTTTCTCAATAATTGAATTGAAAATGATTGAACAAGATTACACCATGACAACATGACTCCGAACGAAAGTAGTTCATTTAATGTTACTACCGCAAGCATTTCTTAAAGAATTTTATAGAAAACTTAAAACTCACTCACAATCAGTGAATAGGTAAATCGAATATGTTCATTTGCATTATATTCTGCTTTTATAGTGTAGTTTTTTGGTTCACAAAAAATGACTTGCTTATATTTCAGAAATTAGAAGCTTGACATCATCCCAAAAATCCATATAAACAGTAAAAAAAGCAATAACGGTTTAGCAAATTTTGAAAAACTTTACAATTACTAATGGGAGTATTCAGTTGTGTCTCACTGCTTATGTATGTCGTTTATTAAATGTTGAAAATTAATACAAACTTTTTTTCTTATAAATATGTTTATTATATCTAAGTTATATTATATTTTTAACCTGTTTGTATAACACATTACTCCTTAGAAAAAAACATAAGGTTTAAGACATTTTTCTTTTCTAGCATGTTAGCTAATGACGAGGCCGATTTGGAGGATTATTACAGCCTCTGGAGATGAAACTCTCCACTCTCTGTTTAATGCTACTCTTATATACGCCTTTGCCTTCGCGAGGACAACGACTCGTACCACCAAGGAAGTACCACTCAGACGACGAAGAAGACCATGCCGACTACACTGATGATGTCGATGAAGAGGTCTTTATTCAAAGAAACGTCACAGGTATGCAGTAGCATATAATACTTATAAAAGACAAAAAAAGCATAATAGTTTACAAAGATCAAGTCAAAACAAATGCGCATTTATTTACGACTTCTGTTACAATTTTATCTTACTTTAGGTAGGTACTTCTTTGAAAATGGTTAATAACTTATTAATTTATTATTTTTCTTTACTATTCAACAAGGATGTCAGTGACCTACTTTTAAATTCTGAATATTCACAGAAGTATAAAATTGGAAAACAGCAATGATATTTTTCTAAAACGATTTCTAAAGAGTTCTATTATAATCCCCCAAAAATTGGATATGAAATACAGTTTTAGATCAACTACATACTCAAGAACAATTGAAAATATAGACTTGAAATTTAATACAATGCTCTTGCCTCATACCAGCATTAATGTAACCATGTGATCAGACCTAATCAGTGGCGTCGGAATTAAGACGGGTTTCAACTGTCAAAAAAAGTTATTTGACGTTAACTTTTCTCATTGGAAAAATGAAAGGTTTTTCGTAAAACCGTTCAACAACTGTGATAATGGTAAGTTTTCGTCAATAGAGGAACATAGAAGTTAAATACTTTGCTCTTAAAATTAGAGATACCTAAATGTAGAAAAGTTAGATCTATTCGTCCGACTACCTCTCTTTAAGATATTTTTATTTTCAATTATGCTTCCCTGGCTAAAAATGCGACTAACTTTGTCATGGTTTTTAAACCTATAACTATGAGCGGAGTGCCTTCTACAATAAAAAATCAAGAGGTATAAAAGTTTTATTTCAAAATCCCCATTCAAATCTGTAATAGAAGTTCCTCTTTATCGTCAAATAATTTCTTTTTTGACAAGTGAATCCTTTTAGACCCCTTCAATTTTCGAGGTCACTGGGATAAACTTTGATCAAATTTTGCATGCAGAGATCTACTAAGTGAAGATAATATCTTGAATGGTTCGAATAGAATCGTTTTAGGAAAAACCGTTACTGTTATATTGGTTTTGTCGAGCAGAAGCAGTCTTAAAAGATCACAACTGTTACGTCCTACAAAATATGTTATTTAAACTGTTCAATTAAATCTTTCTCCAAACACTGAAGTATTATATGTACCATAATTAACGTCACAGAAATTTTCACCACCAAATAAATTTTCGCGTAGAATCCATTACTTCTCAGTGAATAATTGTTATAGGTACATTTACGATATTTCGTATGTATAGAACTTATGGAAGTAAATCAAAGTCAAAATAAAGGCTTGTCAAATATTTACTGGATCGTTCCAGAAATGGTGCAATTTATTAATAATAATGCTGACGGTACTTATTGGTTTCTCAATTTTACACGTCATCACTCTTAAATCTCCAGTTACAATCCAAATTAATTTCAATAATCACTCTTCTAATATTCGCTCCTTCATAGATCATCAACAATTTTAAAATTAGTAAACTTTTGTACTTAAATTTTTGATGAATTACATTTAGTTAAGTGCCTAGCCTTTAATTAAAACTTATAAAGAGTGATTCGAATGCCATTATCTTAAATAAATTTGGGACAATTTTTATCTGAAAGATTTTTTTTGTATTGTTGATATTACCAGTACTATGAAAGAGTTCACTTTTCGTAGGACAGGATATAATAATAATAAAACAATATTCTACATAAAGCAATTAATATAACTACCTGCCATGAGAAATAATAAAAAACCTACTCCATGTTATCCATGAAAACAATATTAAATTAAATTAAATATTTTCTGTCACGCTCACATCTTTCCTAAATTTTTTGAAGCCAATTGAAGCATTTTTAAGCGACTAACTATATATGATGTAGTTTGTGGCGTACGCAACGTTAATTTGGTTTTTATAATATGTATTACAGTCTTTAGGAAAATGAATCTAATTTGTACTGATAAACATAGATTTGCAGTATCGGTTAAAACTAGGTTAGCTAATGTTATGATTAGGCCATGAATAATTTCACACATTTACTCACAATCTAGTCACCCGGTTAGTTAACCAATTATTGACAGTTAAAACAATGGCCCTAAAAATATTTTTTTATAACAATTAATGATTAATAGATATGTATACCTAAGTAAGAAAAGTCATTTAGAACTTAAAATTAATACAAGTAATGGCCATTCAAGACCTTGGATCATTTTCCTTGAATCACTTATACAAACTTAAACATAATACCAATTATTTAATAAATTACAAGGGAGCCCTGAGTAAATCCCCGTTTAAGAATTTATTTTACATCGGGGTAACTCTTATAAAACAAAATAAGATCTACATTCCTTTTGGAATATAATCGGCGTTGACAAATAATCCATCTCATGATTTTCCATTTGTTACATTATTTATACATTTTGACAGTTTACATTCATTTGCTTGTAGATTTGCTTATGGCTTGTTGAAAGCCGGCTAACCAATGTGGTTTCAAATTATTTTCCTCCATATTGCACTCCTTTGTTATTCGACTGTAATATATGGCCTAATTTGCCTTAATTCGTTTCTACCTACCACGTATGTAAACACAGAATGTTAGCTATCATCAAACACCTATTTTATTGCTCACGCAAAGTTCGACCGCAACGTCAGGTCGGCAGGGCAGACCCTGCATATAATAGCATCATTAATGCAAGGCTGTTGAAAGCTATTTTGAAATATATTTTAGTAATTGCATAAGCGAGGTCCGATATGTGAAATGTAATCCTCACCTGGATTCAAAATTTAAATTTTCTAATTCGAGAAAGTAATAGTTTTGGTGGAGCTCCTTATGTATATTGACGACTGCAGTTAGAATCCCAAACATATATTTCAGATCCAGTACTTACTTAGACTATACTTTTCCCAGTTGTGGACATGACTAAAATTGTCTGTTGCTACTAGTAAATTAAATTATCATATATCGATTTTAGAAAAGTTATAACTAACCCTAAACCAAATGTCAATACTGAGAAATTAATAATTTAGAATCTTAATATTTACTACAATTATGATTATCTTTCTTTTCTAGTTATTTTTTCTCTGAGAACTGTCTGGCCAATGGCTTAAACTTGAAAAATACTAGTCAATGTGGGAATATTGTATTTGGTCTGCTGTTCATATCAATTATCTATTCTAATATTCCAAATTTTTTAAATCTTCATTTTGTATAATTGGTCCATAATTACATTCTATTGTATAAAATTTTGATCATCCATAAGGAAACTGTTTTCTATTATGCAAAGCTGTACAAATGTACAGCCTTGAACATAACATTATTTTGTATCAGTACCTTCAAAGACGTTTGAATATCTGCCTCTATATTAACCTGATTTTTTATACAGGCTCTTATATTATGTTTACCACCTTATAATTCTTGGCTTGACTTAATATGTTATTATAGTACAGGGTGTCCCAGAAATCAACGTTAAGCCGGAAACGGGCGATAGGCCAAGTCGTGACAGTTATTAGAAAAATATAAAAAAAAAATCTTTGTCATGTACTTTTCAAATTATAAGTATTAAAAAATAAATTGGACAAACTGACATTCTGTGATGATCTATCAAGTCCTGTGACTACAAATATTAATGTTTCGTCAATCTTTTTTCTGTAATGTAATCATGAATAACCCTTCTGTAAATTACAGTTTAAAATTAAAACATAACTGCCTCAGTTTCAAATAAAATGTTTGATTTTTGCCCAACATTAAATTCAAAATAATTACATCACCCGACTTTAACCGACTGTACTGTAAAAAAATGTACTACACTATTTTGGCAAGTAATTTTAAAAGATGGCGCATTTAGTCCGGATTCTAAAATGGTATGATATTTACTAGATTACTTCTTTGTTTAGGAAAAAAAATTTTTTTTAGTGGAACCGGATTTCAGGCCAACTTTGTTTAATTATTTAAAATGTTGGTAATGCAGCCTGGGTATTTTTAAGACAACAATTTACAGGTACAAGTACACGCCATTTCGACAATGTGATTGAAACAGATAGAGACACCACCTTGTCCAAAGAGTACCACGGGTTATCAAGTAATTTGTTAGTTTTAGGTTTTAGGTGCAAGTTTTATTTGAAACTGAGGCAGTTATGTTTTAATTTTAAACTGTAATTTACAGAAGGGTTATTCATGATTACATTACAGAAAAAAGATTGACGAAACATTAATATTTGTATTCACAGGACTTGATAGATCATCACAGGATGTCAGTTTTTCCAATTTATTTTTTGATACTTATAATTTGAAAAGTACATGACAAAGATTTTTTTTTATATTTTTCTAATAACTGTCACGACTTGGCCTATCGCCCGTTTCCGGCTTAACGTTGATTTCTGGGACACCCGTATAGTATGTTCTCATATGTTATCCCCCATTCTAAATTCAATTATATTATGTTTATAATATTTATAATTATATTTAACTACTAGTTCTAACTTCCTTTTTTTCCTGTTTGAACTATCTTTTGATATATATGAGAAATATAACTCGATATGTATTATTAAAAATTGGTGGGATTTATTTTGTTTATTACAATAATTAAAAGCAACTAATTGCGTATGTAAGCACAAATGAAGTTTTAATCGTTCAACTTTGTACCGACCAGGCATCCGAACACTGGTTATTAAACTGCGGGGTTCGTGGGTTGACATTCATTCACTGGTGATGTGGACTCCTTCGAACGGCCAGGTGTGTGGTGGAAATTTTACGTTGTGGAAATGTTACGTTTTGGAAAACTGGGTCTTTGCTGATTGATGACATCTCCATGAAAATCAGTGTAGTTATTATTGACCCTAATGTCGTTTTAGAGTTTGAATTTGAAGATTAAATGTTATTTTCTCCAATTTTTCGGAAGGGTGCCTTTTACGTTGTTGGCGGCCTTGAGGAGATGTTGTCATCGTCTGATGTAACACGCATTTTGGAAAGTATGGTGAATTTGCTGTCTTCTTCCCTTGCAATTGAAGGGGACTACTAGTTCTAACTTCCATTTTTTTTTCTGTATATACGGTTTGCACTATG